CCACCCCTCCACCCCCACCCGACGCAGTAGCGGCAGCGAGCGCAGCTGGGTGGAAGGGTGACTTCCCTCCTCGGGGCCGGGGCCGGGTCGGGCGGGGAGGCGCGGGAGAGCGCGGCTGTGCGGGGCCAGCCAGATAGAGTGCTGTACCGTCAAAGACCTTTCTAGCTGAAAGAGGATGGGGAAGGGGGGGGGGGCATGGAACTTATTTTCAAAAAGCACGGTTACTCTCTGGGCAAGCGGAGCACCCCCTCCCCCTCGCACCGGCTCCCGCGCCCTCCACGCTGTCCTGTCGGCTCCCCGCCACGCCAAGCCATTCTCCAGCCCCAAGCTGTCCGCTTTACTCCTTTGACCACACTTCCCTCTTTTCCCAACCCGCATTCTTGAACTGCAATAAACCTCGCACTTTCTGTATTTTGCTTTGCCGTCTCTCGCTCTCTCTCTCTCTTTCTTCGCCCCTCTGCCGTCCTCTGTCCGTACCCCTCTGCCTTCACCCTTCTCTCTTTCCACCCCATCAACACCACCCCCTTTCCCTCTCCCTTTCTCTGCTTCTTGTTTCTCAGCCTCTTTACTTCTTTACCTTAGGCAATTATTCTTCACCCTATTTTTTCCCATTTGGAATAGAAGTTCACATTAAGATTTGAGAGCTAATCCTTGTATCTTTTTTTCTTCAGGTCGAAATGAGCTTATAGCAAGATATATCAAATTGAGAACAGGAAAGACAAGAACGCGCAAACAAGTCAGCTCTCACATTCAAGTTCTTGCTCGTCGGAAACTCCGGGAATTGCAGGCTAAACTCAAGGTAGTGAGTATTGCATAATTAGTTTAATGTAACTTATTTGCGTAGTGAAGTGAAGTAACATTATTTTTTGTAGTACTCCCACTATTCTTTCAATTTGTAGAACTATTTCACTCCCAATTTTATGCATCATTTTGCATTTTTACATGACCTGAATGTTAAAAGCATGAAAACATGTTCCTATCATTCCTAAAAGTATGCCTTGCAAGTGCTTTTTGTTTGAAAATTGAAGTGCAAACTATCTTAAGCATTACAAGTCCTAGTTTTGCACATGCTTGCAATTTTCTTATTATTAACAATTATATTTTGTGTAATTTTGTTTAAATATTACAAAATATTGTGGGCTTATTCAACCCTTAGATCTACAGGCTACAGGCTGCACGGTCATTTATATATCTCACTATCTAGTTTTTATTTTTTCTTAGAAAAGCTGTTTTTCATTTGCTTTTATTTTTACTATGTTTGTGTTTTGTATTATGCCCCTGCTACTCTGGCCCTGCCATGGACATATATTTAGTAGTCATATGATAGGAAGACATCATTTGGGAGAGTTGTCCTAGGGCAAAACTGTGCTCTGTTTGTATCGCTTAAATTCGTATCTAAATTGCCTGATGGCATTCTGTTATCAGCCTCCGAGGCTAGGGATCTCAAGTGATCTTGCCGCAGATGATGCTGACTCAAACGGCACAGCACAGCACAGCGCGCTTCTTGCCAAGGTATATATCTATTTATCTTTGTGTGTTCTGGTTCATTTGTTAATTTAAATAAGTTCAATATCGTGTTATATTTAAATAAGAGAGTAATATCTTGATCAGTTAGGGTGGGTGATGAGCAGGTTACTATTATTAGACACATGGCAGTTTATATTATCATCAACTAGCTTCCCTGCTTTACACCTTATAAATCACTTTCAAAGTACTCTATGAATTGCTTATTGATTGCCGCAGAATGGTTTAGCTGCATGACATTTTTGTCACATTCCATTATTTTAATCACAATACCTAGCACCTTCCTTAGAATGGCAAGTTAACTACCCTCCATGGTCCTTTGTTTGATGCATCATTTAAACCCTGATGGTTGTCATTAACTGATTTGAGCTTTGAATATAGTATTTGTTTCAATGCTCAGACATCTAACTTCAAAAGGTAAAGATTTTGAATCTTTTCTGGTCTTTTTCTTGTAGTTGAATTATTTAATCTAAATTAAATTTAAATGATTGGGGAAAACCTAAGTTTTAGCAGCCCCCTCATCACTGCCAATAACAATATAACAGATTCTTTGTACTTTCCTTGGTCAATCAATTGATGTGGTATGGTTACTTTTGCAGTTTTGGCAACCTGGTCTACAACCTGGAACATCACAAGAGTATGTATCTACTTCTAGTTTTGATCAACTATCAATTCTCTTCCTCATAAAGAAAACAAATGATAGCTAACAAACAATGCTTTCTTCTGCTCAGTGTCAAACCATTCAGCCAATCGGCCTATGCGGCTGGAAAGCCAGCAACCGCAGTTTCATCTCCTGATATGGCACTTCAAGCTGCACCTCCACCAGCCTGGGAAGGCCGTGCCATTGCAACGCATAAGCTGAGACTTGTTGAGTTTTCAGCGTTCATGGAACAGCAACGAGATGCAGACAACGTACGGATCATAGCAGATTATTTTTGGGTTTCCACTTTGAAGTTTTTTGAAACACTGGTAGCTTATTTTGCTTTTTATCATTCTAGGTCCATACACATCTTTTTGTACACATAGGAGGCACAGTTACTTATGCAGACCCACAATTAGAGGTAACATATTAACATTCCTACTTCAGTTTATGTTCAGGTATTTCAGATGTGCAGATAACTGACTTTATAATTATTGCAGAGAGTAGATGTCCGTCAAATATATGATAAATTTCCGGAGAAGAAGGGAGGATTAAAGGAATTGTATGACAAGGGTCCTCAAAATGCATTTTTCCTTGTCAAATTTTGGGCTGACCTTAACACAAACATTACTGAGGTTTCAGAGGCTTTCTATGGTGTTTCTAGTATGTAAGTATCTCTGGTTAACTAAAGAACACTTTAACAGCATTTTTGGATACCATGATACATGAAGGCTTGTGTTACAGGTATGAGAGTAATGAGAACATGACAATAACCTGTTCAACTAAGGTTTGCTCATTTGGCAAACAAGTTGTGGAAAAATTAGAAACCGAATATGCAAGATTTGAGAATGGAAGATTTGTTTACCGTATTCCTCGCTCACCCATGTGCGAGTATATGATCAATTTTATTCACAAATTAAAGCACCTTCCAGAAAAGTACATGATGAATAGTGTGCTTGAAAATTTCACCATCCTTCAGGTATTAATTATATTAATTACTGTATAGACCAGAAAACCCTTTTTTTTTAAATTGTTTTCAAATTCATAATGTTTTTCTTTTGCTCTAATTTAACAGGTGGTCACAAACCGTGAGACACAAGAAACCTTACTATGTATAGCATATGTCTTTGAAGTCTCAACATCAGAACATGGTGCTCAACATCACATATACAGGCTTGTGAAAGATTAGTTTGTCTGTTACTGTGTCATTTGAAAATTGCATTGGACATGAATATCTCTTGACACATGCTGACCATTCACCAAAAATGCTCTCCATCTGTGCCTAATTTTCACCTCCATTGAATGGTCTCTTAAGTATTATGTGTTGTTTTTTTTGTTTGTTTTATTTTGTGTTAAATATTTTTTTTAGAAACTTGTGACGTGAGTGAGATGCGCCTTATTGCCCTGTATGTGAATGTTTTCTGAATTTTCCTTGAGTTCCTTCTGTAATCAACTTGACATGTCTGTAGGTGGGTTACTAATTAGTATTCTATTATACTGTACAATACACTTGTTCTAGATTTTGCGTCAGTAACGTATTTCTTTGGCTTAACTGAAATATAAAGCAGTACAATGACATGCCGGGCAGTATGGCGACCATACATAAGGCAGCTCATGTGTCATACTGAGTGGTTTCCACCATTGGTACCATCAACCTTTCTCTATCTGAGATTATATCTTAGCGGTTTTTATTTGAAATTAGTCTCTCTTATAAATTGTCATCCGCTAAAACTACTACCCAGTGGAAAGAAGATAAATAGATCATTTGACATCAAGAGAGTCATTTTGACATCATTTCAACATCATTTTGACCCAAATCTGAGATAAAATTGAGGTCAAAATAATTCCCTTGATGTCAAATGACATCACTTTGATCTTTTTCTTTTTAGTGGGTATTGTGCAACAAAAATCTTGTTACAATGAAATTAATTGTATTTGCTTACTGTTGACCTTAAGTGGTGTGTATTAATGGCAAACTCAAAATGACTGTGAAACCTTGCAGTGTGACATCATGGTGCGTTTCAATTTTATGCATGCCTAAACTTTTTGTTACTTGTATGCAAGTGGTCATGTGCTGCTCATAGGGACCCTGCAATCTTTTGATCTCTCCTTTAGTCAAAACTATGCATTCAGGGTGAGTTGAAAATGTCGTATTTTAAGAGATTTTCACATGTTTTGATTGTGAAGGACTTAATAATCTAAGCCAAATTTTTTCCAAATGTTGGGTTTGGATAGATTAGATTTATCAGATTAAATCTTTAGATATTATATAGCATCACTATATTAAGTTAAAAGTATTACAGAAAGTAATGAACAAAAGTCTATTTATCAATTTGTCTTCTGTGAAGATTCCTAAGGCAAACCACTTTAATTTCTTGTCATGAAAGTTTGATACGTTTTGTGTGTTTGTGGTGCTGTGGGCAAAACCGCTTTTTCAGGCCATTTTGTCATTTGTCTTTGAGTATACACAATTTAGGCCAAGAAATATCTCTAGAAATTGTTTTCTATTCCCAGTGTTTTTCAACCGTTAAAGTGAACTACCACACATTATGTACACGTGTTCATTTGAAATTAGTTGCGTCTAGATATCTGGGTGTCTTGAGTGCCAAGCCATGCTAACATCATAGGGCAGACTCCCAAGACGCCCACACTTTTGGATGCAGCTGCTAAAGCTTCTACATGTTTGGAAAAGTTTATTGCTGGTAGTACATTTTCTGAAAATCTAATCACTACATATTTCAGCTTATGTAAGACAATAAGTATATCTACATTGTTTATTTAAAATTGTATGTTTGTTCATTTATTCTATGGTAAAATATTTTGATGTGGGAATACAGGCATCTGCTAAAACGCAAAAGAAAACAAAAGGAACCTGATCATCAAAGTTGGTTTTGCTTATCATCGTGCATATGATCTTCATATATTACAGAGGTCCAACTCATGTCTGAGACATTAGATTGTTCAAAATACTTGTTGATAAACATAATTTCCAATCATTGTCTCACACGTTTGTTGCTTTTTATTCATTTAAAAGTTTTACGTCAAACCTGTTTTGGATGAGTCGCATTTGTTTCTCACTTTCATATTTTCTTTTAAAAAGCGCAACTTTTCTCTTACTGTATTTTTTTCTGTGGCCATATCTTTGACTGCCATATCAGATCATATCCATACCATACTTTAAAAAGTATGTGTTTTCAAAGTTATATTTCTGTCTCCCTTTTGAACTTATCATTGCTTTCATTTCTTTATGCAATAGGTATTGGTGAAGTACAACTGCATTCGTTATGCAAATATGAAGACGAAAACAAAATGACTAGTATTATATGTATGTAGTTGGAATTTCATTTGGAAATGTACTTTTATTTTATTTTAATGAAATAGCTTTTGTACAGTTCAAATTATGGTTAATGACTGCTGTGCTAGCTTCAAAAGCCTGCGTTAGCAACCCAGCAAGCTGGTATGTGGACCATGTGAATGCCCTCAAAACCGCAAACTCAATTTCTGTGTGTCAAAGTTGTTGGTCGTGATTTTTCCTCAAAAACTTATGTCCCAAAATTGACATGAAATATTAACATTGTATTCAAAACTGAAAGTATTATTTGTGTAGACTTACCAAGAGAAATGTTGGTCTATTATATAGGTAGCATGCAGTGATAGTGTTTTTATTTGTTTGTTTTAGACCACAATATTTTTATTTATATTTGATTTTACATCAGATTGTTTTCTTTAAGGATGCAATTCATTTGTCTCCCTAATCTTTATCATCTATTGTGATAGAATTTGTTTCTCGACATCATCTGAAAACTCAGTTTTATTTGTGATGACAACAGCAGTATGTAAGTAAGTGTGTGTATGGAAAATGTGTTACTTCTTTTGTGAATGAAATCTTTTATATGGCCCTGATTGACATAATTGCAATTTGTATAGAGCCACTCTTAAAGTGTAAAACACTATTTTGTACAAAGTTGCTTACATCGGATACAGAAACAAAATGTTGCCATATATATAAATTTATATATTTTGATTTATGGAATAAATATACAGTTGTAAAAATGAGAAAAAATTTTGCCTCAATCCTATCCTGCTTCCCAGTCGGTGGGTTTTAAGCTGCAGATCGGGTTTAAAAGTTCTTCTGACCTAGTCGAAGCTGACGAAGCTGGATGCGACCTTACATGAGAAAATATCACAGACAATGATGGCAAGAAGCTGCAGAAAGGCACGATCAGCGCCATACACGTATTTTTCTGTTTCCGAGCGGTTTTCTGCCTGAAAGTATTTATTAGAGTTGTCAAATAAGAAGCTTCCTATTAAAAGGCAGTCCCCAAGTTCAAGTTCTCTCCCTCCCCTCCCCCTCTCCGTTACCCCCCACTCCCACCCCCTTCCTCCTCGTTTCGTTGGATGGAAACATAAACAAGTCCTGCCGCCCCGCCGGGAACTTCTTACTTTATGCCGGTAGATTTAACACAGTTGAACTGAACTGTAGTCTGCCAGCTCTTCAGCAGTTCACAAACGATATGTTATTATTGCAACATGTCATTCTTTGGTCGTTTGCTCTTCAAAACGCCTTGCGTGTTTTAGATTTTGTGCAGGTTCCAGGTTAGTGGTGCACCACCTAGCAACTCATTTTGAAAAATAGCGTAGATCTACTTCATGCCTTAGCTTGTCTTGACAAAGTCTGGGTACAAATGATCTATAGCTTTCCAGTCCAATAATACAAAGTTGATACTTATTGATTTCCTATGCTCACGTCTAATTTTCAGATCACATTAATGAAAGTGCCTTCATCGTCATTGCTGTTTTATCTGCACAAAACAATTTTAAGGCCCGAGCTAGTATCAGAGATACATGGAAATCTTTGACAAATAGACCAGATGTTAGATTCTATTTCCTTATAGGAAGGAACATATGTCTGACACATCCCACTGATCGGAAGTCACCATTAGCTTGTGAAGCATTGGAGTTACAAAGTGATGGTAACTATTGTCCCTGAACGAAAGCTTCAGTTTTTACTGTCACTATGTCTTGTAACAATTTTATTTAAAAATTCCAGAAAATGCTGCATGGACACCTGTGAGATTAGACATTAATGATACAATACCTGGTGGAAGTGGTGTCTCATCATTCACTTTTCGTGTAAATTTTCCCGTTATCATTCGAGGAGTCCGATTATGGAAGCAAGCAGTTCAGGGTTCAACAGTAGCAATTGTCAACGTAAAAAATGCTAAAACAGGGCATTTGGTCACATCTTTCTCATTTGAAGTTTCAACTTCTCTCCACAATGAAAGCAGTTGGCTAGAAATTGAAACCCGTCCTTTTTTGTTCCCAAAGTCTTTTGATGTTGAGGTACAGCTTCATGTACAACATACAGAAGACTACAGGGAAGTTTCTATTCCTTGCTCTGGATTGTCAAATTGGGTTGATTTAAGTGGAGCTGTTGAATTTACATCTCAATTCAAACCTGATGTTGGCTGGGTAAATTTTGACAATAAATCTTGTACTCCTATATCTCTTTTCCTGGAACTTAATGGTAAGTATACAGAGAGCCGTTGGACCTAAGGATAATGCTGTTAATAAATTTTTGTGATAAATTTGTTGGGTTCTGTAGATGTTGATAAACATCTTAAGGAGAAAGATTCTCGATCGTTGCAGTGGCAAAGTCATGTTGAAACCCTCTCTCAGGATTTAGAGCGTGAAGCAGCAACTGAGAAGGATGTGTTATTTTTAGATGTTGTTGATGTGTACAAAAACATTCCAAAAAAGCTTCTTCAATTTTATAAATGGTAATTTTCTCTAGGGTGTCTGAACCCTTCCCTTTTCATAGGACCTAATAAATACTTTTTTCTAATTTTGAAATATTTCTTTCCACAGGGTCACTAAGGCTGTTAGATTCACCTATTTGCTAAAAACAGATGATGATACTTTTATTGATATCCCTGTTGTGATGAAATTCCTCGAATCAATTCCAAGTACTGACATATCTCAGATGTGGTGGTGGGGTAAACTCCGCCATGGGCTACCTGTTGAACGCCATGGTAAATGGCAGGAACTACAGTATGCTGCACCTGTATACCCACCTTTTCTGTGTGGAGGTGGTTATATTATCAACAAATTAATTGTTGACTATTTAGGTTTGTGTTTTCTTCTAAAATTGTCTTCTGTCTACACAATTTTGGTGCATTATTTTGTAATCTTTTATGTTATGTTATGTTTAGTGACCAACATTAGATGGCTGTATCCCTTTCAAGGAGAAGATACTTCTCTAGGAATTTGGTTGTCTGGTGTACACCCTGTCTTTCCAAAAAATGCAAGCTGCAAATGGTCATGTGCAAGTGAGTGTGAACAAACTTTGTGCAACAGATGCCAACTATCTACTGATGAATTATTTTTAGTTTGGCAAAAATACAAGGGAAAAGGAACGCTTTGTTGAAAAAGCGAAGACCAAAGCCCAAAACAGTGGGAAATCTATAACAAGGTGGGTGAAATAAACTTTTAAAGACATAAAATATTTAATCTAATCACATCATCAGCTCGCCCCTAATACTGAGTCAATCAAATCTAATTCATACAGTAAGGAACAAACATGCTACTTATCTAGAGAATCAAGCATGAAGAACATTTGGTTTTTGAAATGCACAATCATCACATTTAGAAAAACAGTAACAACAATACAACATATGCACCCTAATCATTTCTTTTTCTCCAAACTTATCTTTCTTTTCCACAACTATTAGGGCACAGATTTATAAAGTTTAGCATTACGTAGACTTTATGTTTGCCAACACAATCACACATATTTTGTCTCCATGCCTCTCCCTGGGAGGGGGAGATAACAGTTTGGGTACTGAAATCTCTAGATCACTTCACAGACTGCACTTCAAATTGAAGCGCATGTTGTCTTCTCTTCTTGTTATGTGAATTTACCTATCTAACTCAATCCACACCAGCATATGATGCATTACATCTACTTATCGGTATCACAGTTTATTGTCATATCTCTACAAAATGAATACCACAATCCGATAACAAGTCATTAATTTTTTTGCACATCACCTGTGAGCAGATCTCTCTTTTTCTAAAATACTTAGTTGAAAATACCATCTCATTCACTTACAAAATAAATAGAAGGAAATTCCAAACACTAATCAACTTTCAAACATTTGTTCCTGTTGAGGTTTTGCTCATTCCTTATCATCACTAGCCATTTGGGTTTTATGTACTTTTTCATTGCTTCTACACAGTTCAAATTAATTGAAGCTTTAAATTACAGTCTATTTTTGTGCTAAATTTAGCTTGTTAGAATTGAGAGATCAATCTGGGCATTGATTGATTCACCAGCAACTCCAGGTGTCAACACTTTGAAGTGGCATTTGGCAATAATATATAGAACTATTTTACATTTTTGTTTTGTCATGCTTATATTACAGTTAACTCGGTTGTGTGCTGCTTTTTGTTTTGTTTTTAAGCTTGTGCAAACAGATTGTGCTCAACTTTTAAAATTCCAAAATCCATCATAGAGGTAGCACATGAAATTTAAACAGTCTCATCGGGTTGATCCTCTACCCAGGGAGTCTGCATTTCTCGCTTTAAATTTAGAGTCAAGAAAACTAATTTACCCTGCAGGTTTTTCATCTTGTATCAAAAGACCTGGAATTTGTCTCATGATTTTTATTTTATACATCTGAGGGTGTAGTATGGTTTCTGCAATCTGTCATAGTGAGCAGATGCTCCCTGATAGATATAGACGCATGGTTTCTCTTAGACTAAACCTTTGTTGAATGTTAATTCATATTTTCTTTATAATTTACAGAGAGATTATCAATGTTCTCAAAACTTAAGATATCTGCTTGGGTAGCTAATTGAGCATATAGTGGTATTCATTCACAAAATATTTCCTTTGGGAATTTTCCTAATACATTTGGAGATGGAATATTTCTTTTCACATATCAAGAGGAGGCTATGAAAGGTGTGCACACAATACTTATACGGTAATAGTTCAAAATACTATAGTTTAACTCACAGTCAGTTTACTACAACCGAAACTTCTGACTGTTTTATTTCTTTTCCAGAAAGACAATCATAAGTGAGATTCATTTACATCTACAAATAAATTATCTGTAACCTGAGCTAAGTAAAAGCTTAACTACAAGATGAACCAAAGTGACTTTTCAAAAACTTTTGCAGCAAAAAAAGAAAGTGAAAGAGGAACTTAATTTTTTAACCGCTATTTTGTTTTTCAATATTTAGTGCAAGAATTTCATCAAAGCAAAGTGCTTTGGCCTTGGAATTAGTTCCACATGCCACATGCCACCTGATGTGAGATTTTAAAGTTGTGGTTGATATGGAAAAGAAGCTGTAATACTTCAATGTGATCCAACTTTACCACATATCTAAAAGTAAGAGCCTACATGTCAAATGATTTTTAACAATCTCTCGTCACAGATTTATCATGTGATTCAGAAGACTATTACAATCCAGTCTTTCTATATTTTGGTGAAAAATACTTCTGCCTTTTCACCTTGTACAATTCTAGAAGAAAGAAAATTAACATGACTTTTTGCAGCAAATACCATGTCACTTTGAAAAAGGGGTGGTTTTGCTGCCTTCTACACAATGAGCAATAATCTCTTTCCTTCTAGTAACATTTTATATTTGTTAAATTTACTTGTAGAGAAAAGAGTTTATTTACTTGACAATTTTGGCAACTCAATTTTTTTTTCTAACAGCAACAAGTATTGACTTACTGCACATTGTTTGTGCGTAATATAAAACTAATGCCCTGCAATGTTGAGAAAAATATTATACAGAAAACCACAAGTAGAAACAAACACATTTAAACTTGTATATTCACTCTTTGGCAAAAATTACTTTTTTTTCTTCTTTTACTCTAATTAATTAATTGTCTATTTTCAGAAGTCCATAACTTCCATTTTGAATGCTTTCTTCTTTGGACTGAGGGGGAGGGGTGCTAATCTTCTGTTGTTGGTGGTGCTTGGAGGCATGTCATCGTCGTCATCATCATCAGAGTCAGGAAAATCGTCATGGTATTCATCGTCCATCTGAAAAATAGTAAGTTGAGTTGTGACTTCCTTAAAAAAAGAATGAGTGTCTGATGGCCTTACCAGTACTTCATTCAGATTTTCAAACTAGCAGTTTTGTGATATGTTAGTCAATTTGGTGAAAATCAACAAATGGCATGCATTAATTAACTAACCTACAGATTTGGACCTTGTACAATGTTTGATTGTGAACAATGTGTTTTGGCATAAATTTCTACCTGATGATCTAATTATGTACATCTTGGATGAGGAATGAGTGTGTATTAAATGGAGATGAGCATAATAATGGAACAAATTTTATCTTAATGATAGGTACTTCTATTGTGCTGTGCTAAGACATGCATTAAAACATAAACAATATGTGTTTGTATCTCTCTACTTTGCAGTTTTGAAGGCATGCAGGAGCAACTGTAGAATAACTCACATATTTGTTAATCTTTTGAATGTGGTTAGTTGTGTTAGTGAAGTTCACCACAAGCACATTCACCCTACACCCTTCAGCGACAATCGTCCTAGTGTCCCACCTACAACTGTACAACAAAATCATGTAAGGGACTTTGCATCAGATAAGCACCAATTCAATGATAACAATTTTTGTCATATACATTCAATTTTTGAAAGGGAAGAAAAGCAGTATTTGTGCTTGACTGTTTTCAAAAATTCTATCAAGACAGTTCCATTTTATCAGGTAATGCAATAAAATAGAAAGCAAAAAGGAACATGTGATAAGTTTTGTAATTTGTATCATACAAAAATTTATCACAAATCCCTTGAAAAAGAAAGAGAACAGTTTTAAAAGCGATTCTTGAAGACAACAGCTCTGAAAGACGGTGAGAAGATTTTTCTAGTGCTGTGAAAGAGGATGCAGGAAAGGAGCATGCGAGGAAGTACATTTGTGAGTTAAGAACAGCTAGGTAAATCATCCCAATAACCATGAAAAAGCCACCAGTCATTTTGAGTCATTTTATTTGAAGTTTTTGACTGTCACAAGGAATGACTTTCTGCCTAAATTTTGACTGACCAGTCCAAATTTGGGAAGAAAGTTACTCATAGTGACTCTCATGTACAGTTGAAAACCGCAAATGACTTCATTGTGAGTTTTTCATGTTTAATGGGATAAGAGCTTTCGAACAATCACTAAAATGATAATTCAATTCGGTAAACTCTTTTCTAGTGATCAGAAAATACACCTTTTACATTAGAATGCATTAGAAATTCATTAATTGTAATGAGTTACTTCAGGCAGAATTTTCACAATTAGTTCATATTTGAATGGAAATTTGTGCTTGAACTACTGCACTATAGCGCTGTGCGAAGTCCTTAACAGCCGGAAAAGAGGATTGTGATTGTTGCAGCAGTGAGTGAAGGATCGGTGGGTACTCAGGATGAGTTGCTATAGGATATAAGGAGGAAACATAAAACCCAATCTACTATTCTTACTTACATAAAAATGTCTTTTTAGCCCTCTAGGCACCTACAAAAAGGTAGCATTCAGTCAGTCTTTTGATCAGTATTTTCATAACAAGGTAGATAATTACATTTAGAGTACGATAATTGCACAAATATAAGATCTACACCCACATATAAGTTGAAAGGTGCAACCCAGATTTTGAGGGTAATGAAAGGAAGTGAGCCCATTTGCAAAATGTTCCAATGATTCAATGACCTCAATAATCCTACCAAAATTCTGGCTCCTATATATTGTGTAAATATGGTACTCAATTTTATGTTGTGTCAATTCTTGGACATTCATGGCTATGATCTTACAAAACTAAATGATTCTTTATAAGTGCAATAGAATTTGCTATTGGAACCAGATATCTGAAGCTCAAAAGTGAGGCATGCTTGGAAATAGAGTGCCATAGAGAGGACTCCACTCACCTGTCTCACAAAATTTATTGTAGTGAATGCTCACTATTAATGCATTCCAATGCCGAGACTTTGAAGTGTAAGCTTTCCTGACTTGTAAAATTTGTCTACAGTCTTTGTATTGGTGTATTTATCAGAAGTTAATTTCTATGAATCTGAGTTCACTTTTAATTTGATTTCATTTCAATTTTAGGGGGTCTTTCTAATTACTAATAAGTTTCTACGACTATAATGCCTATTATTTACCCTCTTCCTGTTTGTTGAAAATTACATGTTCACTGGAAAAAATGTATTTATGTTACAGCTCTCACCACTAATTATGTAATATATCCTGTTTCAAAATAAAAACATTTTCCCCCAGAATGAAAAGCAAAAGTTCTATCTAAAGTTTGATTAATTCTGTATCATATCACCAACCGCGACTCTTTGCAAATTCCTGTTCACACATTATGGTGTTATCAGCAAGATATTATTGTTAAGTGCTAAGCAGAAAACATGGTGCCAAGGAAGTAACATCTTGAAAGATAAACGCATCACTCGTGAGAAGCAAATACCACATCAAAATCAGTGACTTTCAGTTTCCAGCAATATGTTACATTTGAATTAGTAATTATAAAGGGCTGTACTTACATCCTGATCTCCCATCATTTCCTTTGTTGAAACTGTTGTATCTATTCTGCGAATCACTCCCTGGCTTATGTTGATGTCAAATCGGAGACATTGGAATCGACGCAGTAGGAAAACTAATGGTATTGGAAGAATTCCAACAAGTATCATTGTGATGGCGATAACTAGTACCCATGGAGGGTATTCTCTTGCCACAACCTTGCCCTGCAATTGATATTAAAAATTTGTTCATAGCTCTTAGAGTGAGAAGTTATTTTAATTCATACCTGAAATGCTCACCGTATCTGCATCCCAAGCTTTGTATTTTGGAGTATTGATAACCATGTACCCAATTGATGATACTAGGATTCCTGTCATGATGAGGGGAGACAAAAAACGCCATGTTATCTGCCAATACCAGCCAGGTCTGTATCCTGTCATGTCTTCAATGTCCTGAGTAAATCTGCAAATAAGATATAATAACATTTTTGAGAAAATAGTAATTTGTAATGGTTGAGCTAAACTTAACATTTTTTCAGAAAAAAGTACCTTTCATGGCCATACACATAAATGACAGCTATCATTTCCAGAAGGGCTATGATCACCAGTCCAACTGTGCCAGCAAAGGAATCGAAGAGTTGAAGCCAGTACTCTCCAGCACCGCTTGCGAACAAAAGTCCAACCAAAAAGCAAACCAAGCAAACTCCGGCTGCAATAAAAACGTCACTATGGTAAAAGAAACGAATATTGATGAATGTATTGAATTTGGTGTTCAGGAACATAGCACAGGCACTGACCAGTGATGTACTCCTTGCGAATGCGTTTGAGGAGGTCAATGTCAAAGATGGTGCAGAGCATCCCCTCGAGGATGCCGATCTGAGAGCCGATTCCCAAGGCCAGCAGCATCAGGAAGAAGATGACGGACCAGAAGGGCGCGACGGGCAGCTCGACGATGGCCTGCGCGAACACGATGAAGGCCAGTCCCGTGCCCTCGGCCGCCTCGTCCAGCTGCTGCGTCATGGAGCACTCCCCGAGCCCCATGGCTGTGTGGTTGGCCGTCCTCTGCAGCATGCTGTAGTACTCCTCGTGCGTGGCGTTGGCGTTCGGCAGCAGGCCTAAGCTGGCGGCGAGCGGCTTACTCCTGCAACGGGATGCGGTAGGTGTGTGCGTGAGAGGTTTCCACTGTTTACAGTCCAAGCTGTCCCGCTCTCCAGCCCCATAGCGCCTGGTGGGTAGGCAGGCCTGTTACGCTTGCGAGCGCTGCGCGATGGCATGGCCTACCTCCCAGGCGCGCTGTCAAGCGCCACCTCCAGTGCCCATAGAAATTTGTTGGTGTGCAGTACAAATTTCATGTCTAGCATTGGGCGTTACTAGTAGTGCAGGTTGCCTAGTCTGCAGGCGATTTTCTGGTCTTACCAACCCTCTGCCAGGAGGTTTTGGATGGACGTACAAAATATAGGATGTATGTTCGAAGCCGAACTTTTTTCTGGTTATACTGTACGGGACGCAGGCATGTGGGCGGGTTGTATACTTGCACGGGGCCATAAGGCGTGGTGAGAGTCGGTGGGCAAGCACACACGCCCACACGAATGCGGTACAGTAAACCCAGAAAAAAGTACGGCGTAGGACGCCCACCTGGTACACGAGTTAATGAAACAAAACAACAAAACGCTAGTACAGTTGTCGCGCCGAGACCCCCGTGCAGATAGGCAATCGGCCAGGCACGCACGAGCTACAGCGGCCTACTCACGTCTCCAGGCAGCGCTCCACGTTGAGGTGCGCTTTGAAGCCGAGGATAGCGAAGACGACCAGCGAGGCGTAGATTGCGGTGAAGGCGTTGCAGACCGAGACGAGCACCACGTCGCGCACCACGTTGTTCTTGGGCGGGTTGTACGAGCCGAACGCGATGAGGGAGCCGAAGGCCAGACCAAACGAGTAGAAGACCTGGGTGGCCGCCTCACGCCACACGTCCGGGTTTAACAGCTTTTCCACCTGGGGGACCACGAAAGTGCTCAGTGCCTAGTGTAGGGGGACGTGGGAGCACTTCTGGGCCTGGGGATGGCCGAAACAAGCTGGGTCACGCCCGGTCCCAGAGGGACCGGGACCACCGCAAAGCACTTTGTGGACCTACCTTGGGCGTGTACAGGTGGATGAGGCCTGCGCTCGCGCCGGGCAGGGTGAGCCCCCGGATGAGGAAGATGGTGAGCACCACGTACGGAAACATGGACGTGAAGTAGACGACCTTCCCCGATGACTGGATGCCCTTCATTGTGATGAAGAAGACCACGATCCAGGCCAGCAGGAGGCAGAGCACGATCCACCACTTGAGGCCGCCCGGCGCCTCCATGGAGGGCGACGCGTCCAGGGTGGTGCGGTACCAGAAGTAGGCCGTCTCCGAGGAGCGCAGGCACTCCGCCACGGCCGTGCCGTTGACCTGGGGGCAGTCCGCCCACGGCAGCGGGCTCTGGAACAGGCGCAGAGTTCAATAAGAAACCCGTCTTTATGCCGAAGGCTTTATTTAAAAGGCAACTTAAAACAAAACTTTAAAAAACAAAAACTTTTCAAAACTTACTCTGACTGAGTTAAAGAGGTAGAAGAACACCCATGTGATGATGACGTTATAGTACAGTGCCACGAAAAAGGTGACGATGCACGACGCCAGGCCGATGCCGCCCAGCCAGGGGTGGATCGTGTTCCACACGCCCATCGAGCCGAGCCGCATCTTCTGGCCGATCCCCAACTCGATGAGGAACAGGGGTATTCCTTCGAGGATCAGCATCACGGCGAAGGGCAGCAGGAAGGCGCCTGCAGTCACAGAGAGGTAGGACAGTCACCAGGGTGCATGGGCACGGCGGGGGGTGGGGGTCCCCGTTGTAGAAGTTTCGCCGTCAAAGTTAGGCCCACCCCGCCCTCTCGAGATCCCATCGGATTTCAGAGAGAGAGGGAGAGGAAGGGAGAGAAACGTTCTTTGCGATCAAAGAAAGGTCGCCGCAGTGTTACCAAGAGGATTGAATGGGAAGAGGGGGGGGGGGAGTGTACCAGCACATGCTGGTACAAACCGCCAGGAGAGGAGTCTTGGCATGTGCGAGAGGGGTGAGATCCCCCCCCCCCCCGGCCTCGCATATACTCAGCCTCCAACCGTCACCGCCATTACCGCCCATGTCTCCCCTGTTCAACAACGACAAGTGCTCCTATGCCGTTAGTACGGCAGGAGCCACGGTGTGTGGGGTGTGTGGTATATAGGTGCCACTGGAGGTGGAGGGCAAAATGTCTTAACCACCACACCGCGGTTAATCACCAGAAAGGAGCTTTGTGTGTGGCCATAAAAGTGACACTGATCATTCCCCTCCAAAAGTGCCACACAACAAACAGTGACATTGTGCGGTGTGTTGGCCGCATGTCACTCCGTGTCACTCCCGTCACGCTGCTCGGCCGAGGCGACCATGATTGAATGGCCGCGCGCTTACGTCAGTCAGGCTCGGCCAGGGCCTCTGGATCAACACTCCTTCCTCGCCCGCCTGGCGGTTGTGTTTGCCGCGTCTCAACAGATTATGTGCCCATTCTGCTTGCAAACACAGTCTCTTCCCATAGCACGCCGCGCGGAGCTGTCGTGCGCAAATAGAGGGAACGGCGACGCGACGGCAAAAGAGCGACGAGGTCCGCACAAACTGCACAGGTTCACCCCGCGGGGGGCTTTTAGTTGTAGCTCCCATGCTGCTTGCACCGCACAACAGGCGTGCGTGCGGGTCGGGCATCACCCAGAAAGTGCGGGCCACCATTTCCCGTTATCAACCTGACAAGTTCAGCCTAAGCAAGAGCTCTCATGGCGCCCGATGGGTAGGCAACATCTTGCCTACGATGCTTGCGAGTACTGTGTGGTGGCCTACCCCGAGTCTCGCAGGCGCCGAGCACCCATCATTTTACCGAAGGAATCTGTAAGGAAAACGGCCTACTTTCTGGGCGATTCCCTTGCATACCCTCGCTGACCGGCGGGCTGCCCCCCTTCGTGCGCGCGACCCCGCACGGCAACACCCCTGCATGCGATATCCATATCCAGGATGGCGGTGAGATGGAAGCCGCCCACACGGCGCCGGGAAATGTTCGGAAATAAACCAGCTCAAATAAAAACGCTCGCTCGCGCGCGGCCGGTACGTGGCCGGCCGCCTGTCACCACACGGCCGCCTGTGTCCGATCCAGCAGCGCGGGAGAGCGATTGGGGGCGGCGAGGCGTGGCGAGGCGCGGCGCGGCGCCCGTGGTCAGTTCAGTTTCAGTTTCGCCGCGCGGAGCCTAATCCATTATGCTCTTCACATTTCGCTGAGCCTGACGGTCGGTCGGTTCGGCGCCGCTTCTCCACTCGTCTCGATCTGGAGTTCTGGAAGGTTGCAGCCCCTTACTGACCGAGAGGACCAGTCTGATCTGACTCATATGGCGCGTCTTTCATTCGGGCTGATCTCGCTGATCTCGCGCCTCGCGCCTTTCAAGCACGCTTTCAAAGCGACCGCTTTATATACATTCTCATAAAGTGGGCCAGCCCCTTCGCTCCGCGCGTAATATTTCTGCGGCGATGGGGTAGTCCGAGGGTTGTCCCGCCCCACCGCTCGGTTTGGCACGCCGCGGTCCGCGCGCGGCCCTTGGCTATTCTGCCCGCGCCGCCCGCGGCCCGCCTCCCCCCACGACCCTCGCGCACCAGGCCCAATGCTTGGCAGGACCAAGTTAGGTCGCTCGAGGTATTCTCTGTGCCAAAGACGCACAGACGGCTCAGCTGTTGGGCTGTGAATGTTGCTGCTGTGTGTACCGCGGCACGCGGCAGACTCGCTCGCGAGGTCACAATCGGTTAAAAAGGGATACGCGAGTGTTGTGTTGTCTTACTCTGCCATCGTCGGCCCCCCCGTAGCAGAGCGCGTCTGACGTAAGACGGCGGAGCGGCGCCTTCTTCTCTGCAGAAATGTATTCGGCCGGCCAGACGGGCGAAAGAGAGTCGAGCTTCGAATCGTACGGACAGCTTTCGCTTTGCGGACGAATGGCTCTCTGCGCTGGATGAAGGGTGGAGGGGAAGAGAGGGGGGGTTGTGGAGCAGTCCTCGTGGCGAAGGGCGGGGGAGAAAGGTCA